ACGGAAATAAGACATTGGCTACTCTGCTTCCTCCATATGCAGTGATCCTCCTAAAAGGGAAAGCTGATAAAAGTAATTTCCTACCTTTGAATCCTGCAAGAGGCTCCTAATACAAGATAAGCTGTAACCCTGAACTCACCGAGGCTTCGCGATCTGACTTTTGCAGCCTGCACATGATCCCCAGACATACCCTGTTCTCTTGTCATTCAAGCATCTTCAGGATGCAACCATTCTTTTGTGTTTCTAGGGCACTGCACATATTATTTTCTGTCTGAAAAGGCTTTTAACCCCCCCCCCAATTACCCCACCCAGCTAATTACTAGTGATTGTTCAAGACTTAGGTTAGGGGTGAACTTCTCTAGAATATAGGAGATCCCACAGGACCCACAAGCACAGCCTTTGTTACAGCGTATTCTAACTGCTGGTTTATTGGTTTCTGGTCCCACCACACTGAGCCCAGAGGCATGTCTTTCACATTCATCGTGCCTAGTGCCAGGACCTAGAACACAGCCTGGAACAGAGCTTGTGCTCAATAAACATCTGTGTGATGACAACAGCGCCTAGTCCAGGGGGAGACACAAACATGTATACAACTAAGTATGATAGATGTGAAAATAATGAAGGTGTGGCAAGAATGCTACCCAGGGAAGGGGAAACAAAGGTAGGAAACCCTTAGGGGAACCCTTCTGCCTATACCCCTGGCGTCTCCTTACCTGGTGTCTCAGTTTCTTTCAAATCCTGCTGTGGCTGTTGCTGATGATGGTGCACATGATCATGAGTGCCTACTATGAACCAGGTACTGTGCGAAGCACTTACCTAACCTCATTTTATCCTCATAACTGCCCTACGCATTTCACTGATAAGGGAACCCAGGGTCAACAATAAAGACACTTGCTCATTGTTAGACAATTGGCAGCAGAGCCAAGATTTCAACCCAGATCCTATCTTCTGAACCAAGGCTTCAAAGAGTACTCCATGCTTCTATTCTTCATCAAAAGTGAAACCTCCTCCCCAATTTCCAAAGTTTGATCGCCTCAATTAAACCAGTAAGGTTGAACTAAGATTCCTTTTTTATGCTAACCAATGAAGTAGAAATGTACCTCAAGTATTACACACTTCCTGGCTTCTTACATTGAATATCTTAAATGTAATTTAACTTTTTTGGATGTCTCAGGACCATTCTTGTGTTTATTACTGAGGGTGCTGCACAACAGTGTGCCCGTAGGAAGGACTGTGCTAGGCTATAACAGATCGCCCTTTTATTGACATCTGGGCCTGTGAGCATTTATAGTGCTTATAATGGAGCTCTGACTTTCCAATTCACCCTCACTCTCATGCCTAGTTAAAGCTGATTTCTTGCTAATGTCAAAGTTTGTCTCAAGCAGCCCCTCTGATTTTGCTACCTCGAATCTTCTATGGCAGCTGTCCCCAACCTTTTTGGCACCAAGGACTGGTTTCGTGGAAGATGATTTTTCCACAGATGGAGGTTAAGGGGGATGGTTTGGGGATGAAGCAAGCACATTACATTCAAGCTCACCTCCTGCTTTGTGGCCCGGTTCCTAACAGGCCCGGACCAGTACCGGCTCATGGCCAGGAGGTTGGGGACCCCGTTCTATGGACCATGATACTCATAGAGATGTAACTGTCATTTGTGCTGTTCACAAATCATTTCTGGCTCTTTGCTTTCCAGGTACATGCTAAGACTGCAACTCCCTGTGCTTTTTTGAAGTTAGGCATGGCCATGTCACTTGCCGTAGCCAATAGAAATGTGAATGAAAGTGACGCATACCACTTTGCGATAGACACTTTAAAAGCCAGTGTCCCCTGACCACCATCTTTTACTTGATCAAAATGATCATGAAAACACCATGTTAAGATGAAGTTTCCATCAGCCTGGGTCCCTGAGTGACCATGAGAAGCACAGTTTCCTGTGCATTCACATTGGACATATGGAATGAAAGAGAAGTCAACTTTTGTTCTGTTAACTCATGTCTCAAGGGTTGTATGTTGATGCAGGCTAACCCAGGCTATCCAAACTAATATACCAGGTCTCTCAGTAAGTAATTCTCTCACATAAGTAACTTTATTTAGAGAATTTGTAATGAATATTTTGTTTATACAGAGCATTTTCTTTGTAGCCACCCTGGTTCAAAATTATATTCAATATAAAGTTTATTTACTAAGCACCTACTATATATAAAACACTGTGCTAGATTACGAAGAAGACATTCCATGTCCTTTAAGAGCTTCAGTCTTATGTCAGCAACTGTGGCAAAAAGGCAGACTCTAGTGTTATAATGGTTTAAGCAAGGGACAAGTCCCATCTAGATGTGGAGGAAAGTACAGGAAAGTTTCACAAAGGCCCTGGCTGGTGTAGCTCAGTGGATTGAGCAGCGGCCTGCAAAAGGTTGTCAGTTTGGTTCCCAGTCAGGGTACATGCCTGGGTTACAGGTCAGGTCCTCAGGTGGGAGGCAACAGATAAATAAATAAAATAAATAAAAAATAAATAAAATCTTAAAAAAAGAAAGAAGAGTTTCACAAAGGAAATTCCATATCAATTGGCCCTGAAACATGGGTGAGAACCAATGATTAGAGATTGAAAGGGGTCATTTAATATAGAAAAAGCAACATGAGCAAAGATATAGAGCCCAAAAAGCAAAGCACAAAGAGCAAACAGTTCTACTGATCTGGGAAATATAATAAAAATCTAAAAAAAAGGCCAAAAAAATGAGTTTACCCATAGTGCCCATGTCAGGTTGGTCTGTGCTTAATTCAACAGACAGTTGGGAGCCTTTAAGTCTCAGCTGAGGAAGTGAGATACCTGAAAAGTGACGGTAGTACACAAGATAGGTGGAAGGAAAGAAAAAATGTTAAGGGTTTCTGCAACAATCCAAGGGAATGGTATATCAACGGCCCTAAATCAGTGTGATGACAGTAGGAACAGAAAGAAACAGATGCCAGAAATAATGCAGGGGTAGTATCAAAAGACCTGGCAATCAACTGAACCCAGGGGGAGAAAAAAAGAAAGGCAAGAATGATTCTTTAGATATGAGCCCTGGTTAGTGGAGAGGACAGCTATTCCACATAGCTGAGGTTAATCAGAGAAGTATCAAGGCAAGTAAAGTGTTGTTGTACATCTTTTCTAATGGCTGGCTGCAGCTTCCTCTTTAAGTAAATACGGTTACTTGTTCATCCTTTGCTCTACCCAAGAAAAGTTCCTTCCTGATTTGATGCCACCTTGTTTGCACAACCATACATTCCAGTGTTTTGTCCAACAGGAAACTCCCTGGAACTACCATGAGCATTTTGGGTTCTCCTCTGCCACCTGTACCATCCTCTCTTTCTCATTTCCTCACTTCTCCTTCCTCCTCATCCACCTGGGCCTACCCATTTGTGGCTCAACTGAACCCATGTTCCTGCAGTTTCACAGTATCTACTCTTTCAGAATTCTGGAAACCGTATCATTAGTTACCAATTTCCAGTGTGCCCTCTATTCCCACAACTAATTTATAGGCCCATTTAGAATAAGTCTCACACCATATAGGTCTTGAGTTCTCCACAGCTGCATTGCCTTGCACACAATATATACTTAATAGACACTATGGATGATCCAAAGTCAATTAATTTCTAAAAATATGCACATCTTATTTCCTCATGTGACATGTGAAATGGAGAGATTCATCACTTCATACTTAAAAAATGTCCTTGAATTAAGAATCTTTAATCTTAAGAGCTGCTATTATCTTGAGATTATTTGAAAATACCATTTTGCCATAAATTTTTGTGTCACCTGCGTTTTAATCCTTTTGACTTGAAGGTATACCAAACAGTTCATTGATCATCACTCCAGAGTGATTATGACTTAAAGATAACCTAATTTTCCATGATGGCTATTTTACTTTCAGAAGCCTAGTAAGAGCTTTTTTCTACCATCCTACTCAACTAGCTATAGTACATAGAGCAGCGATTTCCAACCTTTTTCTTCTTGTGGCACATCTAAGCTAATTACTAAAATTCTGCAGCACACCAAAGAGTATTTATTTTTTGCCGATCTGTCAAAAAAAAAAAAAAGGTATAATTTTGATTCATTCACACTCAACGGCTAGTGTTGTGCTGACTGTTGTCATTTTTTTATTTAACAATCTGTGAAAAGAGGTCAGAGTCAGGTATGGTGTGTGTTAAGAATTCTTGCAGCATACCGGTTCAAAATCGCTGGTATACAGAATTCGAAGTATAGCCACAGAAAAGTTTGTATATTTTTAAAACAAAGTAACAGCTGCCTCCCTTGGTCCCTCTCTCAATTAACTACAATGATTCAATTAGTTTCATTCCTTCCTCACATGCCAGGAAAACAAAGAGAAATTAGGTTTATTACAGAATTATAAAACTGGCGCTGTTGTAAAAAGGAATCCAAAATATTTGTACGACACTAACCTGACCAAACATGCTCTCATCACTAAGATACTTCCTCTTGCAAAGGAAGCAAGAGAGGCGTACTTTGCCAATCAAACTGATCCGGGTCCCCTAGACACCTGGCAGCCAGTGGAGCAGTTAGCAATGACAACCGCTTCTCAGCTGCTGATTCCCACTCGGGGTGTCCCTGGACTTTTCCTTCCTCCCCACAGAGCGGACGCCGGCCTGACCGAATCCGTCCTCTGCACCAAGGTGCGCAGCGCTGCGGGGTCTCGCACGCAGATGACCTCAGCCATTCAGCTAGGAGCCCGCTGTCCTCTCCCCTCAGGCCTCGCAGCCCCTGCCCCTACCGACACGAGGTCGTCCAGGGGGCGGCCTCCCGGCTAGAGCCCCGAGTCCCAGCCGGACTTCATTATTCGGAGAGGACCCGGCAGTGCCCCGACCCTTCCTTCCCCAGCACTAGCGTGCGTGGCCCCGCGCCGGGCCCAGACCCGGGGACCGCGGGCGAAGGGGGAGGGGAGGAGCGGCGCGGTGACCGTTAGCCGCGGTGGCTGCAGCGCCCCGGCACGCGCAGGAGCGGCCCTTACCGCAGCGAAAAGGCAGGCAGCTGGGAAGCGGCGCCCGGCCCGACGCGAGCGGGAAGACCGAGGCGACGGCGTAGGCGTCGGAGGCGGCAGCCGCGGGGAACCCCGGCGGGCGCCCAGGACGCGGCGGGCGGCATGGGCGCCGCCATAGTGAGGACGCAGCGGCGGGCGGAGCGCGCGTCCGCGACAGGGGATCGCGGGACCACCAATCCCACTCTCCGCCTCAGCGCCCTCGCTCAGAGTCGGGCATCTGCGGCCAATCGACGCGCAGGAGCCGGGCGGGGCACCGGGATGACCAATGCAAAGCTGTATTAGGGACAGTAGGCGGGCACAATCCCAGAGTGGCACAGGAGCCGCGAGTCTCCGGACGCTCCTATCCCGCCCTCCGTTGGGGACCAGGGCCGCAGGCTGCGCGAGGCTGCAGGTGGGTCGCGGTCCCGGACTGGCTGTTCAGCGCTGACGCCCTCGTCTTGGTTCTCAAAAGCACATTCAACGTCTGGAATCCTCCACGTCCGGCTTCCCTTCCCAGCGGGCGCGCGGTAAAGATGCCAACGTCTGATGCCCGTAGGACTTGCTGTCTGCCGGGATGACCCAGCCTTTCCAGTCTGTTTCTTCACCCGCGCGGGGGACCTCCCGGGCGCATTGTGCCAGGTGGCCACGGTCGTTCCACGCCGAGGAGCGCTGCCAGTTTGTTCCCTGAGGCCCAAGGCTTTGGTTCCAGGAGCTGGGCGACCCTGCCCAATACTGTGAGGTAAGGCTGGACGCGGTACTCAGGCTGCTCCTCTCTATTACCAGTTTCTGAGCCTTGCAAAAAATTTTGTTCGGGGATAGAACCATTCCACCCCGTCCCATCCCTTTTAGCATTTGCAGCTCTGGCGGTCCCAGCTCTTTGCCATCCTCCTCCCTCATTCCAGCAGCTAAGCCCATGCATTTGCCTGAGCACAATTTGTTTTTCTTTTCTTTTCTTAAGATTTTATTTATTTTTAGAGGGGAAGGGAAGGAGAGAGGTAGAGAAACATGGATGTGCAAGAGACACATGGATCAGCTGCCTCTGGCACGCCCTCAACCGGGGACCTGGCCCACAACCCCAGCGTGTGCCCTGATTGGGAATCCAACTGGAGACCTTCCGGCTGGCAGTCAGGCACTCAGTCCTCTGAACCACACCAGCCAGGGCAACACGTGGGCACAATTTAAAATGTAATTCCTCAGGTGGGAAGAAGAACTGTCAAGCTGCAATCCTTAGTCGTCAAATAAAGACCCTGGCTTAAATGAGGGCAGTTTACCCTGGCAAAAGACCTCTAGGAGGAGCCTGCCTAAAACAGGCAGCCCACCCTTCCCTGGAGTGAGTCCTCTGAGGCCTGATCCCGACTAGACTGGCAGGCAGGCAGTGAGGGAGACAGCTGCCTGTTGTATGTGACCTAAATAAAATTTCGTTACATCCTTAGGCTTTTATTTTCCCAGGGTTATTAGGCTGACCAAAATAAAAAGTACAAAGTTCCTAGAAAAATAGTTAAGAACTCTGCTGGGAGCAGATCAAGAATTCTAGCTATGCAGGTCCTACAGGTAAGGTAGGGTCAGCGGAGGTAGTGGGACTCTAGCTGATTCTGGGGGGAAGTGTTCCTTTCCTCCCAATGATTTCCCAGGGCTCACCAATCCATTCAGGCTTGCCTCTCCCAGTCTCACCCAGTGATCCCCTGGGAATCATTGGGTGCTACAGGAAAAACCCATTTTTCTTTCTGGGCCCCAGGAGGAAGCTGGCATAAAGTAGTGTCTTTGAAACCTGCTGCTCCCAGCTCCCCACCCGCACCTGCCCCAGAATGAGACACCAGGAAGCAGCCACCTCACAAGCCCCAGGACACAAAGCACTTGGTTGTTGAGCTCACCCCAGCTTCTCCTGCACCTGGAGAGGCCGGTGAAATGGGAGTGCCTAGCCAGCTCTGCTGTGTCTAAGTCCTGCAGCTATTCACTGGCCCTCCCTGTCCTGCTGCTGCTCTATCCCTGTCCACCTGGACTTTAGGAAACCACCAGGCACAGGGACTAGGTCTTCCTCCAGGGAAGCTTCTCACCAACTACAGACAGCTCAGAGCTGCTTTAGGACCCCAGTGCAATACCTCTGGAAGTCAATTTCCTTGCTCTTCGAGCACCTAAAATGTACTCCCTTCCTGTTCAATAATCTGTATGGAACAGACTGTGGGATGAATTTTACCAGCTCAGGTAAGTGGGTCAGAAGTGAGAGGTCAAATTCAGTTCTACAGGCTGAGTGGCAGTCTGATCATTCCTTTATTACCTCTTTCCAATCTCTAAGGAAGAAGTGAAGAGAGATACTTGTGGCCAGAGGTGCCTCTGCTCCCCCTGTCCCACTGTGCTGGGCCTAATACAGAGCTACAGCATCAGAATTTGACAAGGAACCCATCTCTTTAGGACAGCTTCCTAGATCTTTGCAAACTGAGTCTTCTTAAAATACATGGCCTTGCTCCAGAGCCTGTGACTCCAGATACACCCTCAGCCTGACCCTGGGCCACTTGGGCTCCTTGGGGCAGACACGACCAATCCTCTGCTCAACACATTTTATTGCTAAAGACAAGGTAATGCACCAGTTTTCAAAATAATTTGGTTTATAGCGTTCATACGTAACAAAAAACAGGGAAGTATTATAAATCTGATTCTTGTATACATAGGGTACAGGTGTGAAGCCCTCCAATCCTGGGCCCAGGCAAACAAATTCATGAGGAGCAAAAACCTGTTTAACCCCTTCAGTGTTGCCCTCCAGTCCCACCCTCCCTCCCAAATTCGTTCCCTCCCATCCCCAGACCAGGAGCAAACCTACCCCTGGCCACCAATGGCCCCAGTTCATCTTAACCCTCCCAGCCCCTGCATAATTGCAATTTTCTGCTGACAGAATCACCCACCAGGCTCTGCCTGCTTCCATCATTAAGATCCCCCTTGACGGCAGTCCCCACCCACACCCTCTAATACTGTGCCACAGGGGTTCTGTGTCTAGAGAGATTTGGACACATACCCATGTCACTCCTATCTTCTTCAAGAGAGGATAGAAAGGTGGCATTAACTCCTCTGCAACTCAATACTGCAGCTTTGCCAGAACTCCCTTGTGGCAGCTCAATGGACAGATGCCACACCCATCTCCAGCCAACCCCAGGGACCCTTACTCAGCTCAGCTGAGGGCAGAATTTCACATTTTGTTTGCCCTGGATAGGCAAGGAAGAAAGTAAAGGCCAGGGGCTGGCAAAAGCTGGTCCAGACCACACACACACACACACACACACACACACACACACACTCTCTCTCTCTCTCTCTCTCTCTCTCTCACACACTCTCTTTCTCTCTCTCTCTCTCTCTCACACACACACACACACTCAACTCACACACATAAATACAAAACGGGGAAGGGAGAGGGGGCAAGCACCAGCACCTCTTCCTAGTTGGTGCAGGTGATCATTAGGAAGCTAAGTCCTAGGCCAGGAACAGGGCAACCAGTCCAGCCAGCATAGTCGACCTCCGTTAGAGACAGCGCAGCCACAGCATCTCAGTGCTCAGCCCCTCGGCTGGGGGCTCAGCGGCTGCTGCCATGTGTCCAAGAACGGCTTGTCCTTTCACTAAGAGAATGCGATGAGGGTGGGGTGAGAAGATGATGGGGTCGGTTATTTCATTCCTTTGCATTTTACAACTTCACTTTAGAGACTTCAGAGTTCTATGTGTCTGCTGTGCTGTGGAACCTCCACAGTGCTCTCGTCTGGATGGCTGGGAATCTTGGCTCCTGGAAGCACCTACTCCATGATGGCCCGGTAGAGTGCAGGCTCAATGTAATCTTCCCGGTATCTTGAGTTGATAACTCGTTGCCGTTTCTTTTCCTGTTTAACTTCCTTCTCCGTGAAAATCTCATTGAAGCGCATGTCTGAGGCTACTGACTATGGAAGAACAGGCAAGCCAAATGAGCACTCTGTGGCCAACCACCGCGATGGGGAAAAAAAAAAGGAGGGGAGGGATATATCCTTGCCTTGTTCCCTCCCTCCCAGACAGGAACCAAGGACACACAGAAAACACACTTACCAGTCTAGACTTGACTCTTTTGGGAAGCTCTTCATCCAGCGTGTACACATCATCTCTCTTAACCACAAGCTGTGAGCCATCCTCAAACTCCACCTACCGTGGAAACAAAGGCCTTTGGCTAAGATATCCCTGACTCTCCCTAGACCACCATGCCACTACAGTGGCAATTTCCTGTAGTCACAGGAAGAATTCAGAACACTGAAGGACTGCCATATGTGAAGCCACATCTGCCAGACTGGGCGCAGCGCAGCCCCTAGCACTGAAAGGGTTGTTACTGACCCCTTAGCTCTCCCAAGAGCAAAGACACACCTCCAACCCAAGGGGAAACACTGGATTAATCAAGTACCTTCCAACCCCCACAAAAATCTTTGGCTACCTGGTACATCTGTATGGGATGGGAGGCCACAAACTTGGCTCCATAGACTTGGCCGTCTGTCCATCGCACTTGAACCACTTCCCCTTCAGCAGGCGGACCCAACTGGAGACAGTCCTGACTCTGAGGGAAGAGTAAGGGAGAAAAGTGAAAGGAAGGTCCACCTGAGCACAGCGGTAACCACCATCTACCTCAGGGAGGAATGGACAAGGACAAATTCCTGCTCCTGCAGAAACACTCAACAGGCACTTTTGCAACTTGCCAAGGCAGTGGTGGTCTTAAGAAAAAATACTGTGTGTTTTGAGTGGTGAGTTCAGGCAGGTGCTCTTTTCATGGACCGTAAGCTTTAGACTTGGGTACTGGCAGACATCTTGAAAATGAATGAAGTGAAACTATCACTTCAAGGAACACAACTGACAGTATCTAGGATTGCCAATGATAAAAATCTAAGCTTTCAAACAAAAATTAGAAGCACTATGAGGCTGGGGCTTCCCAAAATTTAAAGATTTTTCTGGGATCAGTCATACAAATGAATGTGATTTTGATAGTGTATAAGAAAAGTTCACATTTGAAAGGTCTACAGTCTGTTACACCAGTAAATATGTTACAGAATCATGCATAGGTGAAAGATCCATTCTTAGTGAAGGCGGAACAATGGACTTTAACGTAACTGGGTATTCAAAGTTCATTGGCCTACTTTCAGATTCCATGCTATACCTAACTTTTAAGAAACTAATA